ATAATATCCCGGTGATGTAGCACTGATAGCTCGGCTGAGTACTTTCCCACAACATTTCCCAACAGTTTTATTCCGTGAGCCACTTGAGCTAATTAATCATCCTCCTTGCAGATGTTGCATGTGGGCTCGCTCACGGTTAGCTTTTAAGTCCTATCTTGTATCTGTTGTTTTGTACTTAATGTGACATGTTTTCAGCCCCTGAGCCAATACATCTTTAATCCACGTCTACTTCATCTTGGCTCTCAAGTTGTTTGCTTCATATAACTTTCATAAACGTCATCTGAAATTAGATTTATATTAAAAACAGATATTTAATGTCAACTATTTGGTTTAATCTTTGATGTGCATAATTTTTTGTTCAATTTGTTCCATAAAAAACAGAAATACCAGTAGGATGGAGGGAATCTTTAACTAATTTCAGCCAATTTGACAAAGCAAGGTGAGGTATAATGTTTCTCCTATATTATCAGGCAACTTTAGAAGAATGAACAAGTTTGGTCAAATATCACCAACAGCTCCAAAGAAATGAGGCAAATTAAGTCTCCAGTTAGTAGCAATGTGTGCAGCTTCCAGAACAAAATTGGTTTAATTGACTAAAAGTGGTCTTTAAAGATTGCTTTGAATTAGAATAGCTGCATATTGCACACTTGTTGGATGAATAAAATCTTTTACCATTTAATTGGTAAAACATTTCCAGAACTTCGTTATGTCTGACTGTTGTGTCACCAGTAGTAATGTACTGCGCTAAAATTAGATAATTCGCTCTGCTTTACTGATCACTGTCTTATGATTAACGGTGTGTTAAATTTTATATTTGTGGAAAGAAAACAGCATGTACAAGTTAAGAAATCTACACAGAATCGCCCTGTTGCAAATGTGTTACTTGTACTGAATAGTAAAGCATCCAAATCCCTCTGAAAATTCTGTAATTTATGCTCTGATCAGTTGAATATTTTGAGATCGTGCTTGAAATTAGAGCATCCGGGTAAAATATATTTAAATAATCTCCCGTTAACCATTTTCTTGATGTTGTCAGTCATACTTTTTTTGTTTGATGGCTCTATCTTGACAGTGTGTGCAGACATTGGTGAACTTTAAACAGAATGAAAATACAGTACAGTCATTTAATGTTTTTGGTCTGTGTTATGCTGACCTTTTCTACCTGATCTACTCGTTTTAATTTCCCATTTCTAATGTAAAAAGATGGAATGATCTCAAAAATGGAGCTGGAATTTAGATAGTCAAAGCAGCGAAGCCAAAATCAAACTGTATCCTCATGGTGGGTTTTGCAAGCCGGTAATAACTACAGCACACGTGGGAATTGTGTTTCCTTTGAAATGGAAAGGCCAGTTTAATTATTTTTCTCTAACCTCATTTGACAATAGTGTCCTTGTTTCTGTTAAAGAAGTCATGACTTCGGTTGGCAGAGGCCCAGCTAAAACTCAGCCCCTGCACCCTTTCCTTGACTCTGTCCCCAGAGCCCCTTCTGCCTCATTTAAACCATTTGCCCTTTTATATTGTGAGGTCAGGTGTTAACAATTCTTTTTTTTTTCTCAGGGGGCTGACAAGTCTGAAATTCATAAATGAGTTTTTTTCCCAAAAAACCATGACTGTACCAATTGGTTCTGCTTACCCAGCAAATCCTCTTCTCATATCAGCAAATAATATGCCAACATGGAGCATTTTCAATCATCCATCCATCCGTCCAGCCATTATGGTTACCGCTTATTCCCTCATGTATTTTTTATTTTTTGCATTATCCACACCTACTGTATACTCTTGACTTATTCTAAATAGTCTTTGCATATTAAAGTTTGATGTCTCTTAAAAGTCCACACGGCGGTATTTCACAGATTGAGAAACTCAGCTGAGTGTGTGTGTTCCCGACCGATGTCTCTCCTCTCCCCTCTTTAAATGGCTCTCATTTAAGATGTCTATCCTCATGTCAGCCTCTTGTCTTTCTGAGATACCAGCTCCTCTGTGTTCGAAACTGAAGGCTTTAGAGAATCTTATCGCCTCTCATTAAGTCCGTTCCCATTCTTTTGGTCCCTGTTATTGCTCGGCGTTAACCTTCTCACTTGGTGGCATTTGTGGAGGGCTGCTGGCCACCTTTCTGAAGAATGATATGGGCTGCACTATTTCAGCACGCTGAGGCCTGTCATCTGATATTATTGCCAGAAAAAAGAAGTGTCTTTGTCGCGGTAGAATTCAAATGATTTGAGGATTATTTCATACCTGTCTCACCTTCCTACTTTGTGCCACTCAAACTCCTCCCGTACAAAATCTGTAGTGAAGTGTCTTTTTTATGCGTTCGTGTATGATTAAACTGAAAAAAAATGGTCTGAGTATAATTGGCTGATGAGAAATGAGGTAACACTCACTAATAAATACTAATTATGCTGTTGAAATAATTGAATGAAAGAGCCACTGCTGTTTGCATTTGCTTAGTTTGACTGGTTTATTTTACGTTGGAGCAATTACAGTATTTTCGTTTATTCAGTTGTTTATTTATTCAGCTAAAGTACGGAGGGAGCATCTTAACAGTATCAAAGCAATGAAAACCTACATTCAGGCTACAAGCCCGGCTATGTTAGGAGTTAAATAATTTATATCTGCATGTGGATCAAAATGAAAGGCTTTAGTGTCTGCAATTAATTTATCTGAGCTGACCTATCTGATGTTTTGGTGTTTGTTAATGAGATTTTACGGCATTGTGTTCATGAGTTACCTCTTTTAAAATAATCATAAATTCAGACGGCCCTTTTTCATGTCTCCCTTTTAAACTCTTCTATCATTATTTACGAGCCTCACATTGAAAGGGAAGTTCCATTATCTATCTTTTAGCAGTTGCCTTGGGGGTGAATCATGTTGGTCGAACACCCTGGAAAGTAATATGTCAGCCTGGATGAATTACACTGTTTTATGAATAATTGCAGATATTTAATTACTAATTGTATTTTCTTTATGTGGATTTTTTCCAGCATACCTTGGCTCCATCCTCACATCATTTCGGTTGAAAGAGAATTTCTTTTTGTCAGTTTCTGAGTTGAGTTTTCACATCTATGAGAGGATGTTTTTCACACAATTGCAGTGGGTCGAACAGCTTTAGTAGCACAGGAGGGATATGTTCAAAAACCAAAGCACACCATTTTCATACATAGTTCTGAATACATCAGAACTACCCTGGGTTGTAACCACTTTGGGAGAAGCAATAATGCACTGGGGTGAAGTCTGGGTGAAAAACTCCAGGAATAGAGGCAATGTTTCCAAGGAAATCTGCAGTGTTAACTTTTAAATATCTGCCTGATAATGGAAAAAATGAATGATAAATCTGTAATTCCATGGTTGGTTCTGACCGAACGAACATATTAATGCAAGACTCGTTGAATCTTCTTAAACCAAGCCAAATATCAAGGAGGTCATAGAGGACGGACTATTTTCATTTTTATAGGCCTTTTTTATGTACCACGTAATATAAAAAGAGGGCATGAAATATCTTCTGATATAATGTCAGAACACACACAGAGGCAGATATGTGTGTTTTCTCACACATTTTCTTCCACCTATAACCAGGGTGAAAGGGCTGAAAAACAAATGGTTTATAAATCAGTCGGCCCAATGATGAAATGTTCTATCCCGAAACATGAAAGTGTCAGGATAGAAAAAACAAGAAACAAGGAAAAATCTTGCCATCTCACATTTTCTGGGCCTCTACTTTTGACGCGAGGCCTGATGTTAGTTTTCTTCAAAGAGGAATTCGTCTGTGGAGCTGCAGAATCCGTTTGCTGCAGCTTGTCAAGTTAAGATCCATCTACTCAAATCTAATATTTCTCTGCCGTTGCCCCTGGTTTCTGTGTCTTTCCACACAGACTTGTAAACATTTGTTATTTAGCCGTGAATCAAAGAGACAACATTTATTGGCATAACCTTCTGTGGTGGACAGCAACACCCTTGTTCCATCTATTACCAACAGATGGCTCTTTAGAATGACACTCACTTTGTGACCTTTAGCTGGGCCTGTTTTATTTTGTGACAAGGACAACACTCTCAAGAGCTGCTCCGTGTCTTCAGTCAGCATGCATATTTATCAGCCTCTTCCGAGAGGGATTTCGTCTAAATTATCACAAGGTTATCCGTCTCGAATTCAATAACGCAGTCCTGCCACTTCACTGAAGCCGTCTGTGCTGGAACTTATTGAGGCAATAAACAATAAGATCAAAACAGTTTGAGCGTTCGCTTTTGGTGAGACAGGCTTATTAAAGGGGAACGGAGGCAGAGCGGCTGAAGTGGATCTCGCATCCGCAGCTAAGAGTAGACATTTGTAGCTACACAATGGAGCAGATTAGCAGAAAATGTCCACAGCCACCACCGCCCACGAACCCTCCCGGAGAGGGAGCCATGTTTGGTTCCACGGCGGCAGACCTTGACAGCAAACAAACAAAAGTAAACTTTGATCAAATCGATGGCATGTCTGTCCCCTCTACGGCTACTGTTGTAGCAAAAAAACTGACCGTGAGGCGTTCAGGTTCAGAGCAGTTTCCTCCGCATAGCACGAGCCCAATAATAACAGAAAAGATTTCACATGGCATTTGCATTCGTTTATTTTCAAAGGTCTCCTAAAGTGCTTTTTTTTCCCCCACCAAGCTTTCCCGAATGTCCAAAGAATAGAGCCAGATGTGTACAAAGCCATGTTTAATTTTGAAATGGCATTAAATAAAATGCCATTTAGAAAATGATCTTCGTGAAAAGCATAGCAATTTAGGCACAATAAGCTTAAAAGGCCCGGCCCTGGAAGCTGTTGGAGTCCACTCTGCTCACTCCACCTCACAATAATAAAAATAAAAAAAAGATTCAGACTGTGCAAACACAAAACTGCAGGTTTTTCTATCTGTGAAGAACATTACCAGTCGATGGACTTCAGGTGTAAAGAAAAATAGTTTGTTCTCTTGAGAGCAGGGAGTTGAAGCCAGCTCAGTTATCTAATTAGATTTGGCCCACAGGGTCGTGTGAAGTATCGTCCTCTGAAGAGAATGGAGACACAACAGGTGAACACAAGAAAAATGACAGTCTGATTAAACTCTCCAGTTCACTGAGAATCTGAACAGATTTCCCGTGCTATCATGAAAGGTTCTGCATGCGATCTGCACATATTGTGATGGTGGTTGACCCACAAATAAGTGTAAAAAACAGTGTCAACTGTAGGTTATTATAGGAACCAGCACCTTGCACTGGTCAGGAGGCAGTGACCTAATCAAATCTGTATGGAGAGATGAACACAAGTCTGCACAAAACCTATTCATGGCCCGGTGACATATTAAAAAAGCTCATGTTTCACATTGCATTGAAACTAAGACGAGCAGACGCCTTTATGTGTTCCGATTGTTGCTCAATCTCTCAGAAAACAGCACACATGTCTCTATCTGTGCTCGTGCGTGTTTATTCAGGCGTGCGTATTTTTTAAACGGACTGATTCCAAAGCCCCCCGGATATCAATACCGGGATGTTTCCCCACATTCAGCCTTGCTGTGCATCTGCGTACGGATCGATTAGTCTCCGTTTGATGCGTCAGCCGCGGTCACCTTAAAGTCACAGCCCGGCTCGGCTTTCACGTGTCACGGCGCGTGGGGACGGGCCCGGCCCCGGGCCCGCGCACTGATTCGCTGTTTTCTCCGGATACAAATAGGCCGAGCACGGCACGGCGCGGGCCCCGTCTTCTGCCGTCAGCTGCTATCGGCGCTCGATTGGTTTCGCCTGGGAGAAACCATGGACGACCGAGAGGACAATGTCTCCATTCCTGCCTTCAGCTTTCTCCTCCAGATGGACCCCCACCTCAAACCCTACGAAAAGGACTTCAGGAGGAGGTAAAGGACTAAATGGAAAGGCGTTTTGTGCACGGTCGCCACTAACCAAACGTCTTTAAAGCGAGGCTAGCACCTAGCTTACGCTCATATGTGGAAATAGCACGGGTGGCACGCGCGAGTAACGGTCCCTGGCACGCGCTGGGGCCGCATACAGAGTTGCCAAGGGCCGTGAACGTGGGGGCACCGTTCAGGGCAGTTATTCCCCCCCCCCAGGTCTTGGTTAGCTTGCCCAACTCCCCCTTTCCCAACCTGCAGAGCTCGCGTCGCGATGATGACATGCAGAGCGCGCATGCGCAGACGGAGGAGGCGTGTCGGCCTGGGGGTGTCACGTGGTGCCGGGAGGTGGCTCGAGCATCACGGCCACGCGCCGCTGTCCGTGGGACCGAGCTTTTGAACGCGGCCTGTTGGGTCGTAGTGTTGAACATATTTTTTTTCCCTTCCCTCTGCCAACATTTAAGCTTTTCTAAGCTTTAAAGTCTTGTGAAAGAGGAGGAACACCTGTTTAATGTCTAAGGTTTCACATGACCTTAGAAGACCTTATCCTCAAAAGGTGGTTAAATGAGGTCAATACACCCTAAGATTCCCACGAGCACACCACAAATGACCAAAGCCGGGCCAAAATGGAGGAGCGGTGTGGTAAACAACTGTTCTTAAAGCTTTCTCTGCTGTTGTTTCCAGTTTGTTGGCATTTAAAGGCCCGTTATTAGACAGTGGTCTGTTGTTTGGTTGGGGATGAGCTGTTGTCAGGCTTAAAATGCTATCAAAAGGCTTCCGGAAAGCACCCCAAACTCCACAGGTGTCAGCCAACTTGTTAAGGGGGTCAGAAAAAGACCGAACAGGAATATGAGCCATTTATTCTCCTTTAACTGACTCTTTTACTTTATTTACTCTGTAGGTCAAAGTTAGGGCTGTTGGGGGGGGCTCATTGGGCAAGAGGCTGCATACGGATGGGTCGAATCTAAAAAGGGGGGGATGCAAAGTGTTGCAATGGTTAAACCAAAGTCCAGTTATAAACCGATCTGAAACACAGAGAAGGCAAAACAAGAGGTGGAAAGTCCCCCGCCGGATTGATTCATTCCAGATGGACAGCGCCTCATCAGTTACCTTATTTAATGATGTTTTTTATTACTGTATCCAGAAAGATATCTTTGAAACGAGAGACGCTGTGTTGTCTTTACTTTTTATCACATAATTGTAGAACAGGAACTTGTTAGTGAGCTTCTTTCCACGTGGTTCAAAGATTCCTAGTGTCTTAGACATGAATATAAATATGGAAAAAAACAACACAAAAGCTGTAGCTGATTGAGAAAACAACATAATGATGCATTCCAGAGTGTACTGGTCTAAAGATGGATAGATAAATACTTTATTGATCCCATGAGGGAGGACTAGCATTTATCCCTTTGTTCTGGTCCTTAATCCATCCAGGTGTGAAGCCCGGACAGCTGTTCTGTCAGCCTGCACATCTGGGCCAGCGGCTTTTGTCTCATGGGTTTGTCTCTTCATTTGTGGATATTAAGATTAAGCTTTTCACTTAGTACTTTATGCATCTTATAAAGAAAAATAAATAAATAACCTGCTGTTTAAGACCATTCGGCTTGGTTCCAAAAAAGCCAAAGCATCCCTTCCAGTGGGGGTGAGGGGCTCGGGGCCCCTTAAAGGCAGAGAGGGGTGGACCACTGTCTCAGTGGCTTAAAATGTGCGGCCATGTTTGTGCCGTCGGGTTTCTACAAGACTCTGTCCTGAAACTGGGAAGGCAATCCTCTCTGCTTTGGGTTTTCTCATATTCCATCGATTGAGCACAGCATAGAGGGCGCTTATTGTTCTGAATTACTCTCTGACAGGCCTCTAGTTTAGCGGAGTTTAAATATCTTTTGGGAGTTCTCCTAACAAATGAGCACAATCCAGCCCGGCTCCAGTCAACAGCTCCCGATCGATGGGCAAATCCTCACCAGCTGCTGGAAAACACTCTCCAGTCTCCGTTAGCCGTGTGGGGAAGTGGAACCTTCTGAAAACAATTAGATCCCGGGACCGCTGTGTGTCTGCTACTGCCTGTGAGGAGGGAGGTCCAGGAACCCAGAAGCACCTTCCTGCATAGGCTCTCCGGTGTGTGTGTGTGTGTGAGTATTTCCTGGGTTAACTCGTTTGACCTTTGACCTTTCTGAGTGGACTGTCACCGGGCCCATGTGGATTCTAACTGGGCACTCCAGCGTCCCTCCACTGTCCAGACACATCTGCCTCTGGGTCAGTTGGTCTCTCTAAATTGAAATGAAGGTACACCTGTCTCTTTATTTATTGATCCGGGTTCCTGTTTTGGACCCGTGATGAACTGGCCCGGATCGGCCTGGCTCTGGCCGGGTGCGACCCTGAATTCTATTAAAGTTGCATCGAAAATGGATGAATGGACAAATGGGATATCCATGATTTATGTTGCAAACCGCCCGCCGGACGTTCAGACAGCTTCATGTAGCGAGGGGAGGGGGGGGGGGCAGGGCAGTTGGAGCCCGCAGGTGAAGCTAGCATAGCGGCTCGTTTGCAACTTCAGCCGAGTTAGGAGAAAAATATCATCCTGCACCATTTGAATGGAATTGGACTCGTTGGTTGAAGCTCCTGATTTAAAAGAGTGGTCTTAGGCCGTGTTTATCTGCCGTGATTAGTCTCTTTCCACCTGAGGGATGTCGGAGTAATGCAGCCATTAAGAGGATCAAAGCGTGGATATTCCCTCATTCTAACTACTGGGACAGCTTATTTTTTCCTTTATTTTTTTTTTAATATGACAAGAAGTTGCGTAAAGGCTTTACAGGTCTGCAAACAAAAGCTGCCCCTGAATGCCCCCGCCTCCATGAGCAAACACGCCGTCTCAGTGGAAGCCCCGTCTAAAAAAAAAAAAAAAAAACCTGCCTTTTTTAAGATGATTTTTTAATAACGATCCAATAGATGCATGTTCACTTGTGGCTCCTCTCCAGCTCAAAGCATTCGACGAACGTGGATTCTACTGGAGGGCCGTACCGTTCCCTCTGTTTTCATTACAATGTCAGCTCTTGTGTTTTGGTTGGCAGGTGAGGGACCACCTGCTTTGTGTTTGAAGCGAGCGAGCGGGGCTCAAGGCTCGCCGAGAGATAAGCGTGTCAGTTCCATCTCTGACACAGCTTGGGATTTTTGGGCTCCGCCGCACCCAGACACGTCTCAAACACCTGTCCCCGTGATGAAAGTCCGCATCCATAATTCTACATACAAAGCCGCCGCTGTGTGAAGGTTAATTCTCGACGGGATCCCGGTGGTTCTGGGACTGGGGCAGAGTTCCAGCTCTAAGAATTTATTCGCCTTATCAGAAAAGAGACTCGTGACCACAGAGATTGATTCTCTAGATTTGACCGGTGTGCCGTGTGGCTCCAGGCCTCTGATGTCTGCTGAACTCTGGTTCACACCGATGGCCGCCGCTGTGCTCCACAGCTGGACTGGTTCCCCCCCTAATTAGTTACACTCCTGCTTTTACGGGGTTCCAGGTTCAGAACGGTGGCGCAGATGGCCGCCGCGCTTCATTATTCCTCTTTTCCGTCACCCAACCGAGCAGGAAGTGCTTCCAGGATTTTGTTTTTTTCTTTTTTTAAAGCTTCGGGCATCATGTTTGTCTTAAATTTGAGCAAATCAAAGAAGGGGCCATCGGGACCAATGTTTTTTTTCAAAGATTCGAGTCGAGTTCTCATTTCAAAGTCAAACCGAAGCAGTGAGTTGATCCCTTCTGCATACGATGGTGATGCAATATCTTTTAAAAGCAAAACTGATTATTCCCTTTGAGGTAACGAATGCGGACGTGTGCAAAGGCAGGGAAAAGTAATCGGTGAAAAACAGGGGAAAAGGGGGCAACGAGAAAAGGATGCGCAATTCTATATCAATGGGAACTTTCTAACTGAGAAGAGCAATTTCCTCAGATTACTTTTTGTTTTTTGTCATCCTCTGGCTTTGGCAGGTTGCGTCCCGTCTCGTTGCCTGAAGCCATGCAGTCGTTTAGTTTAGCCGGGAAATGGAGCTCTCATCAATCCAGAAGCCCAGGTCCCCCCACCAGCCCCATTAATGCATTTGGTGAGGCGGGGGGGGACATTAATAACATTATTTGAAAGTCACGGCATGCACGTGACCCCCCTGAAGCCGGCCCAGAGCCCTTCACGTGCAAATCTTGATGTGGTCAAGTGGGTCTGACCCCACTTCAGGCCTCAGCTGTCCCCATCAGTCCCACGAAGCCGCAGACCCCATCACGCCGGCTAAATTTAGATTTTCTTTTTTTTGTTTTGTTTGAGGAGGGAGTACGCGCACTCGTTCAGCTGCCCGATGGAAACTATTTCAAAAAGTAGTTTGCAACAGTGTGGGGAGATTTAAGATCCTGCTGCTGATTTAGTTACGCTGTTTGTCCCACAATGAAACTTGAGAGCAAAAGCTGCTGGAAGCCTGATATTTACCATGGAAGTGGACGGATCCATCCATGTGATAGAAGGGTTCACCATCAGGAATCAATAGATTTAAATTTTTATAAATGGATCATCTTAATAGAGGCTTTTCATAATCGCACTACTTTAAAAAAAAATGTTTTAATCAGTCCATGTTTTCATTTCCATGGAACCATGTGCTTTTACACAGAATTACTTTGAGCCATTGTTTTCTAAATTCTGTATACACCTTAAAATAAAAGCAATCAAAGACTATAATTTAGCCTCTAATCAAGAGTGAACAAACCCACTTGAATTCAAGTTTTAACTTGTAAAATGAGAAGAAAACCGAGTCGTGTCTTGGTTTTTTTTATTCAAAGTTTTGTGGTTGTGTACTAACGGGCCTCTGTGGGTTCCATTACAGTGAAAACATGGAGACGGGCACTTCTCTGGTCTAATGTAAGCCACCCAAAAATCCACTGAGTGGCAACTCGTCCTGCCCAGACTGGAGCTGTCTCCCACCTCTGGTGCCAGGAATTGTTCGAGGTTGACTTTTTAGCTTCACATGTCTGACCTGCACGTCGGCCAGCTCGTTTTTTTTCTCTTTTCTTTCTCCGTCCACCCCGCTGCTGTCCGGTGTCCAGTGGGGTTTGTTGTGTGGGGACACTGGGATCGGGGCGTCTGTTGCCGCGGGCGATGATCGATCCTCCAGCGCATCTTGCTGGGATTGTTGCCAAAGTCAGAGCCCCCCCCCCCCTTCTTCCTTCCCCCCCCCCCGAGCCTCTGATTCGTCATTGATGAGCTCATTACTGAACCACCTTTACAACCTGCTGGCGTTTAACTTCTGACTTTTAAGCACAACTTTTGGCAGCTGATCAACTTATTGTCCTATTTTAAAGACATTTCTGAGGAATATTCAAGTCTATAAACTTTTGACAGAAAAGAATAAATTACCAGCCATAAAATTAGTGTATTCTCTGTTATGTATTTGCAAAAAATGCTTCAAGATTATTATTTTCATGACTTAAACAAAATGCTTCTGGAAAGTCGGATCCTACATGAACAACACCCCGTGATAACATTTCATTTAAAGGTGCAGCTCCCAAAAGAAAAAAAAAGAAAAGAAGATGCAGCTCACTTTTTAATTTTCTTTTTTTTATTATGTTAATGAATTTGTTTGGATAAATTGTTGGAGAAGGAAAAAGCATTTAACTAATTGGCTTCACACTGGAACCTGTGACAGAGTAATTCACTTATTAGCAAACTGGTAAACATATTAATATGCACTCATTTGCATAAGTTGACAAAGTGCATTGAAATAAAGACAGAGGTGTTTTTTAATCTATTTATTTATTGCTTATATTCACTGTAATTAAAATTTACTCCATTCTATTCTACTAATTAAATATTTTCCCTGATTTTCCAGCCCAACACCTTTTGTCTACCTGTGAGAGGTGATTAGTTAAATGTAATTAAATACATTCTTGTCTTTTTACCAGCAGACTATGAACCAACATGCTCAGGTGAGGAACATTCAAATAAACGTTGACTTTTCTTTTTATAAGTTGCAAAGAAAGTTGATTATTCTGAGATTTAAAAGTTAATGAAAACTTTACTTATTTTATTATCTCTATCACTTTGTGGCTGACACAGGACATATTAGATCTGTCAGACTTTTGTCAGTGGATTGATTCATCTTTTTCTCATAAGAGTTTGTAGAGTTTTTTGTAGATATTTCTGTTGAATAAACCAGAAGCAAATGGATTTCTCAAATCTTGGTTGCAGGCTTCCTAAAAAGGCTTTGTACATTTTGGTAAAACGCACCACCTGAAAACCCTGCACTTGTGGTGGATTGACGGGGAACAAAGAGAAAGCCGGACTCCAGCTCTGCGTTTTCAGCCCTGACTTGAGTGCATTAGGGATTCAGAGCCAGCAGTGGCTGGGGGGGG